ATTACTGGATTTATCCCTCATAACAAGTCCATGAGGTAAAAACCTTTGTTGTCCACTTTTCAAGATAAAGAAATTAAGTTTATTGATGTTGAATAACTCAAGATCAAGACTTAAACTTTAGCAAGCAACTATGACTCAGAAACACATGCTCTTAAATACTGTACTCTAGTTTTACCTGCTGGCTGTTTCCAAAAACTTTAAAGTGCACAAGATTCATTGAATTAATTCTGTGACAAACAGGAAAATTGTTATTAGATCCATTTTTAAAATAAAAAATGAAACAAAACAAAACTTGAGTTTCAGAGCTGAAGAAATCACTCAAGCAAGGAACCAAAATGGGATTATATATTATATATACAATAAGATTATATGTAAGATAAATAATAATGTATAATCTTATATGTATCTTATATAGATTATGTATTAATATATAATGTATATTCATAAGGCTTGTATATTATATAAATTATACAAATATATATTATTATATATCGTAGTTACATATTTGTGTAATATATTAATCTATATATTTTACATACAGATTACTTGAGATCTGCCCCAAGTCTCCTTTTCTCTCCATTGCCCTACTCTACCTCCCTCACAATCCAGGTATCACCAGCAGCAAGTATAGTCCCTCCCTCCCACTGTTTACTGAAGAGAACACTGAACAGTTTATTTTCCTTTCTAAGCTAAAATTTGGAATTTGATTCCAAATTCAAGGTCTTCCAATCTAGTTGATATCCTTGGCAAAACTGTCTTTGTGATATCAATAGATGTAGATTTAGGGGCTTCTGTAGGACCCTGGGAGGGGTCATTTTGAAATAAAAAATTAACTTAGGATGTGCTAAGCACATGGCCTGTGCTTTCTGACCCAGCCTGAAGCATGTCACAGGGGCAGCAAGGAAAACATAAATAATGCCACCCATCATGTAATACGGTTCAGGAGAAGAAATAAGGTCAAGTCATTAAAGAGAAGAAGGTGAGATCATTATGCTTTAACAAGGCAAACAGTGGCCAGAGGAAGACTGTAATGAAACGCCGGCTGGGATGCTGAAAGCCAGAATGTGAAGACCAGGGGAAAAACAGCTTTCTAATCGAAACCATACGCCCAACTCCGGAAATGAAGACTCAGCTCCAAGCAGTAATGCAAGAAGGGTGAATGAGATTTTAGGAAGTGGGCTGAGGAAGTTGTACATACAGGGAAGGGCAGAGAGCGGCACGTGGCCTGAAGAAGCACCCTGTATTTGGGGAATTAGGAGACAGCTTTGAAACAAAGCTGAAGGAAGGCAAGATTGCATGTGCATGATCAATGCTGGAAATTCAAAATCCAGATTCTAAACTTATGGGAGAAAATCAACCCCAAGAAGGAAATATCAAATCACAGGGAAGAGAAGAGGAAGAGGTTAATAGGAAAAATATTTCAGTTTGCTTCCAGGGGTGTTGAACTGAAGTGTATGGAAATCCATACGTGCCAAGGGAGAGGGTTCTCAAGGACTCGTGTGAAACCCAAAACGCTCTTGATGTTCGGCCTTTAGAATTCTGTTTCCTTGTTGTGACCTACAGCCATGAAAGCTCAAGGGCCTTGGGGGGAGGGCCCAGGAGAACTCAGGTTTCCCTAAAAGCCTTTGTAACTTTCAAAGAACCTACTGTACTTCAAATGCTTCCCCACCTTCATACCCCCACCACCTCTAACACCACCCCTGTAAGGATAGGCACCTCTTCCTTCATGTGGGGGAAGTAATAGGAGGTTTGGTAAAAATTTTCAAGCAGTTAAGACCTTTTTCTAGTGAGCTGATTGATTTGATGAGACAAACGTGGGCAGAATCCATAAGAAAGATGGTATCAT